TTACTGGCCCTTTCCCAAAGAGCTCGAGAGGGTTCGAATATATTTTGGTCTTTTTAGACCTGTTCACTCGGTGGGTGGAGTGTGTACCCGTACGTAAGGCCAATGGAAGGACCATTGTACGGGAATTGCACGAGAGGGTGGTAACCAGGTTTGGGGCGCCAGAGATATTTCTTTCGGACAACGGGACCGAGTTTAAGAATCAAGAGGTCGATGCCTACCTGTCGAGGAACGGCATCCGGCGCGCCCTTACCCCAGTTTACCACCCACAGGCAAACCCCACAGAGCGAGTGAACAAAACCCTCAAGGCCATGCTCATATCGTACGTGGAGCGGGACCATAAGAGCTGGGATGAGCACCTGCCAGAGTTCAACTTTGCGTTGAACTCGGCAACTCACAGCGCGACAGGTTACAGCCCGGCCATGCTGGTCTTCGGTAGACAGCCCACTCCTCCCTCGACCTTTAGGAGGGCCCAGAATCAGTTGGCTCGGGAAGCTTCCGAGGGCCAAGAACTGACCGAATGGGGTGAGCACATGCGCCAGTTACCCAATTTATGGGAACGCGCTGGCTCTAAGTCCAGGGAGGAGGCGGACCGTCAGGCGGTCTACTACAACCGGAGGAGACGTCAGGCCGACTTTGGGGTTGGGGACTGGGTGTGGAAGCGGAACCGCATCTTGTCTTCCGCAGCTCAGGGCGTTTCGGCGAAGTTGGCGCCGAAATATGATGGTCCATACGTAATTCAGGAGGTATGTGGGACTAATACCTACCGCCTAGGTAACCAGCAGGAAGAGTTGCCCGAGCTGATCCACGCCAAGGACCTCAAGCCCTATTTCGGTCCATTCTCGGATCAGGACAACGAGGAACTAGGAGGCGGGGACTCAACACCGTTGGAGGAAGAGGAGGGCGTAGGCGACCCGCCAGCGAAGGTCGAGGAATCCAGCGAGGATCCTATATGCGAGCGCGTCGCGATTGCAGCCCCCGCGAACGAGTGTGAGAAACCCGCGGCGGCTCCAAAGGTACCGATCGAGGCGCCGGTTAAGCGAGGCCGGGGTAGGCCACGCAAGAACCCTGCGTGCGAACCTCGGGAACCAGGTGGAGATGACCTGGATGGCAATGCGGTAAGGGGAAGAGGCAGGCCACGTAGAACCGCTCAGCACGTGCGGAAGGTGGTCCTGCCAGCTACCCCCGCAAGTGGGCCATGTTCGCGAGGAAAGCGCAGGGGACCGGGACGTCCTCGTAAGCAATAGCATCGAGCGTCACACAGCGACGGGTAGGTTAAGGGCTGAACCTGAGAAATCCCTTAACCCCACTTCTTCTCTTTTACAGAAGGAGAGGAAGCTGGTCATCAGTGAAGAGGCCCTCGAGACGGCCACCCAACTGCTGCTCGACCTGAGACTGGGTCCGGGCGCCGATCGGCTGATCGGTGATCTCCGTAGGTTTGTCCGGGCCCAGGTCGAGAAGGCCGCTCGCGAGGGCCGTTCGCGCCAGCGGGTGGACGACTTCCTCCGGGAAGGAATGAGGGCTCCAACTTCCAAGCCCGTGACCCGGGAAGCGTCCACCCAGACCGACGGCCCGTCCGAAGAGGGCCGTCGGTCTCAGTCCACGCAGGACCAAGGGGTACAGACCCAAGGGTCGAGCGCGGTAACCAGGTAGAGCTCGACCCAGTGCCCCGGGCCAAGGGAGGCCTGCGACCAGCAACATTGGATCTGCAACCATCCCCGCATCCCCGAGCAGGAGGGCCTCGAAGACACCTGGAGGCACGTAAGGTTGGGCCTCCAGGAGGTCGAAAATGCATGGGGGTTCGTCGGGGAACTGCAGACTCAGGTCCACACCCACCTGGAGCAGTTCCTCGATTACCGGGGGGCCCGTGAATTGCTCGGGGAGTGGGCTCCTGTGGCCCAGCGACAGAGGGCCTATGGGGAGGTCGTGTCGCGCGTGAACCGGGGACAGGAGGCCCCGACGGGTGCGGCGCCACCGGCGGTAGTGCCGCCGCCGGAAGCAAGAGGGCGTTCCGCCGCCCGGGCTCCTGTGAGGCCCCCGATCCCGGCTCAAGCAAGGACAGCCGCGGGGGCCCCCGGTGGGGTCCAGGAGTTCACGGTCCGCGTGGACGGGTCGAGGGTGCCCGACCCGACCGTGGTGGTGAGGACGCACCAAGGGCGAACCTCAGCCACGGTGGGCGGCGTGACGTTTACCGCCGCCCCGGGACCTTCGACCCCGCATCCCCGTCCGCCGGTGGAGGGAGCCAGATCCACCCCAGGAGAATCCAGGCCACCTCGGAAGGGATGCTACATCTGTGGGCATCCGGGGATCACCACGACCTCCAAGTGCCCCAACAAGGCGGAGCATTGGAGGTACCCCCGGCATAAGGCGCCGGGGGGCGGCGGCAAGTGACCCGGATACGGATGTAGGGGCCCAGATGGGCGAATAAAGAGTTTTAGAGTGAGAAGGTACAAACTTGAACCATATCTTAAGTGAACCATAATACACATTGTGTCCAAATTACAAGCAATTCTCATTTTTAATAGTCTTAGCCACCATACTCCCTTAAGACAATTCTGTCAGAAAACTGATTGATTTCTAGAAAAACAAATATCACTAGTTTTGTCTTAATTTGTACCGCCTGAAAACTCCTTTTTTGGAATTTATACTCCGGCCCCTATTATGAAAATAATATTTTCGTAGGGGAGTTCAGGAATTGAAATTAACGTACAGTGTATGTGCGGCGGAAAATCTATCTTCTAGCAGATAAATATTCGATTTTTATAGAAAAAAATTATGAATAGCTTCTTCTTAATTTGTACCATCTAAAATAGTTTTATTGTCGTTTTTACATCTTAAAATTTAATTAGAGAAGTATAGGTACAAAGTCTTATATTAACGTGTATTCTTACAGCCCTGCATCCATAAAACAGCTGGTTACTCGGATAATAAAGTAGAAAGGTATGTTTATTTTCATGTTTTTACGATTTTTTCAACACTCGGGTAAGAAATTATTCAATAGGAATATTCAGGTAGTACAAATCGAAACGAAGCTAATGATGTAACATTTAGTAAGGATACAAATTTTTTATTGCCAGGGTTGAAAATTGTTTTTTTCTTCATATTTTGGGCGGTACAAGTTCCAAAACAACCTTTTTACGATAGTACCGAGTAAGGCGAAGCTGGTGGTATTTCTTTTTTTAAAAAATAAATAATTTTCCTATCAGCGTTATCTACTTTGTCATCCGAGTAACTAGCGATTCATAATTTTTTTTCTATCAAAAATATTTTTGTGCTGGAAGATATTCTTTCCGCTGTGCATGCGCTGTTATACGTTAATTTCAATTGCTGAACTCCCCTACGAAAATATATTTTCTCAATTTTTGAGGGGAGACAAATTCCAGAAAAGCATTTTTTGGGTGGTACAAATGAAGACGAAACTAGTGTTTTTTTTTAAGAAAACAATAATTATTCTGCCAGGATTGTCTCAACACATAAATGTTCATAGCCAGCTTACAAGAAGAAGAACCACGTGACTACCATTCTCACCAATACCGTACCAAAGTGTCTCGTACTTATTTTTTTGACATGATGCACAATTTTTTTGTTAAACAATGCGTTATATCATTTTCATTTTTGTTAAGCATATCGAAAGCAATTGTTTGAGCTATTGCTGGTTACTAATTTTCAATAGTACTTATTAACTTTTGCCGAGATTACTAATGTAAACTATGGTACTCGTGTACAAATTGGAATGCATGCAGGAATTGGCCTGTTGTGTTATTATTTGTGAGTTGGCTTTTCAGCCGAGGATTAGTTGACACTCTATTCCTAGCTGGGGTGTATACCAGATTATATTTTGTACCACCTGTAAGATTAGTTACACCTCAGCCAGTTGGTGCAGATTAGTTATAAAGGTGGAATCTTTACACATTGGAAGTAAGTAACAAAGACTGTATATACCTACTACAGGATAATAATACAAAACAATTAGTAATGCGATAACACAACTACAATGTTTTTATTTAAATTATTCTTAATCGAAAAATTATTTTAATTACAGATCATGGACTTAGCAAGTTCTAATGGGAGTCATGATGGGGGCTCAGCTGCAGATACGCTGAATTCAACTTCAGATATTAATGATTATTTGTCTAAGTCATTAAATGATACTGACAGTATCATTAAGGGAGTACCGTCGGAAAGTGATTTAAAAATGAGAATCGTTTGAAACTTGGATGGTAGGTGTATTATAGTGCTAAGAAACTGTGATTCAAATTTCGTGAGCCTTCAGAAGCTGTGAGACGAGAAATTAACGATTAAAAATAACATGTAGTCTTATGGGAAAATGCACTTTTTACTGAATATTTAAGCTTTCAAAAATGAGAATGTTATAAAAAAATTCTGAGGTATGCAAAAAATAATCTCAAAACGATATCCGTTCGAAAAAATATCATTCAGAAGCTGTGAGAATAATAAATAAATAATTTCTGTCCAAAATATGAAACTGAGAACAGCGAGTTGGAGATATGGCAACGTCGCATTTTCGCCACGTGCTCTCTCGTGCGCGCATGTTTCAAAATATTCACACCGCTCGTCATTGATATATTTGTTAAGATAGAAATTGAATTGAGAAAAAATTATTCAAATAAAATTGATATTTATTATAATAACATTTAACATCTTCGCAGATTTTTTACGTAAATATTGTTAAATTATAGTAACAACAACATTAAAAATATGGCATTAATGCAACGATACATTTTGGTTCAATTAAGTCTCACTCGAAATCTTATTATTTTCTTTATTATTTCGATCTAAATAATCACTTAATGTACGAATCACTTTCTTATTTTTAGTGACTTGATATTTTAAAAAAAGTCGACATAGTCCATCGAACTGATTTTCTTTGTAAGCTTCTTCAATCATACAATCTGTAACATCAGCAGCAATCAATTTTTTTTTCATACAAAGAGATAAGCTGTTTTCAAATTTCTTAAACATTTCTAACTTTTGAGATATTATCACTTTATTAGCTTTATCTTGTTTTTTCTGTGCTTCTTTTTTTTTATCATTCCCCAAGTAATGATTGTTTTTCTCATAACATTTTCAGACACTTTAAAATGCAATAGAATTTCCTGTAGCATTTGCACATCGGCGACGGCATTATGTGCATTTTCAATATTTAGTTTGCAAATATTTGCGAGATTTGTGAGTTTATTTGCACCCTTGCCCTTTTCTTTGTTACATTTGCTGATTAACGGTAGAGTATCGCAAAAACCTTCAACTACGGATTGAAACCTATCCATCATGAAACATTTCATTATTGCCATAATTAGTCTTGTATAGTCAAAAGTACAGTTATGAGCTGTCAATATACATTTTTTGTTAAAGCGATGTAAAAACTCGTAAAAACCAATCATTGCTTCAGTTAGGGAAACTGTTTCTACGTTTTTGCCGTTGAATTGTAAACGTCCGTTCAGCAATCGTAACCCATGGACAGCACTTGCTTCTTCCTTTAAAACTTGAGTAGGCTGGATGTATGTTGCAAATTCTATATCACCGTATCTTGCAGCAATTTGCAGTATATCTGCAGTTTTACTGAAACCGTTTGTTTCAAGATCAAAGTATACTATTATCGAATCAGTATCATATGGCAAGCTAGCGATAGGAACAAAAGCGTCGAGATTCTGCAGAAGTTCGCAGTCGGTGCCGTAGCTAGGACCCTCACAAAGTTCATGTTTTTTTCGGAGGTCAGCTTTTCTTTTTTTAAAAACAAACGTCGTTTCTTAAATTCTGTACTTTGAGATTTGGTCAGTCTTGTCTTACTAATTATATCACATTTGTTTCCATATTTATCGGTATATTTACCAGGAGAGCAATTCAATCTATTATTCAAATCACATATGTATTTTTCCCCTTCATTTTTCTGCAGTACTATGCAAGCTACTCTTGCGTCAGCAGACGTAGATGTACCATAAACTCGATTTTTGGGAGCTCTACTGACAATTGACGCGTTCATACTTTCGTTCGGATTACTGGTAGCGCCAGCAGAGTACTGTTGACTTCTATCTGCAAAATTGCTGAAAAGCTCTACAAGCTTATCAAATAAGTGTGGATCAGTGAAACCTTGGCCGATTATTTTATGTCTATACGTAGTTGGATTTGCGCTATACTGACACCATGAGCCACAATTTCTGTGCATGCTGAAAGCATGGTAAGGAATATTGTTGATAGCATCTGCCATACGCTCGCTATGACCAATATTTTGAGCTATACTATAATTAAAACATTTTTTGAGGTATTGAATGCTATCGGTATTGAGCTCTTTAAATTTATGATTTTTTTGCAATTTGTACAGTCCACTCACTACATCTTTACTAGTGTGATTTTTGTCTGCCTGTTTCACTATTTCGTAATCCAAAGAATTCCGCATAGCTGCCATCGAGCTACTATCATTATCTGATATGATTATTCCTATTTCGACATTACAACTAGCTAAAAGACTATTTTCTTTGGTCAATTTTACTGCTGCAAAAGACTCCATTGCCTTGGCAGTGCCAACAAAATTCAAACGACAGTCATGACTATCTTTACTGTAACCTAAATCACACTTTCTACACTTTCTGTGAAGTACTATATAATTAAGTACTTTTCTTCCAAATCTCCCCATGATTGTTGATGTCCCAGACAAACTGTCATAAGTTCTACCCGAACCCTTGGTGAACCACCCCATATCAATTGATCCACAAATCCGAACTTTGTGGGACTTATTAATGGAAGAAAGAGGAACTGACGAAGGAAGATCAGGAAAAATGAATGATCTGTTAAGGTGTGGAGGCCTGAAAAAAAATCAACATTCATGTACTTTTTTTTATGTATTGTACAAGTTATACAAGATGTGCAATCAAAACACAAATTCAAATCTACTTTAATGAAAATAACAAGTGACTACGAAAAATATAACAATGTACAATTATTCATATTTACAATTCAGTATTTGATTAGTAAAAATCATAAAAACATATGCAAATTGATTAAAAATTGATTGAAAACATATCAGTTCATCTATTCCTATGTAGCAAAAAAAAAATCTATAAAATTGTTCATAAAAATCACATAGTATACATAAAATCATTATAAATATTTCATCAAGACTCGAAATAACCTCATGGCACTGGATATAACACTTGATCTCATTCAAAATAGATTTGAATAGTGAAAAAATTGAAGGTCCATAAACATGAATCTACAGTATTGATTCCACTGCCTCTATATTTTCAATAGTCAATTTTCGTTCTATGTTTACTGCATGTAAACAGCTCTCATAAGCCATTTTTTCAGCTGTTAGTCCCACTTCTACTTCATGTGTTTTGTACGTGTGCCATTGAAACTCTGGTACATTTAATTCAGATAAGAACTTGTTCATGTGCGTACAGCCCATTCCAGCATTCAAAGAGCCTGCAATAATAAACGTTATTTTATGCATTACATGGTTGATGCAAAACTATTCACTGAAACTTTTATCGATACAAAATTCATATACAAACCTACTACAGCTTTTGAATTCACATCATAATGCATTTTGTTGCCATTTCCGACACTGTGCTTTTTGTCACTCTGAACTTCAGATATTGTTGCACATGATCTACATTTAACGTAATAAATTGAAGCTAAACCAAATTGCTTTTCATCAATGCAATCGATCAAAGACAAAATAGAATTGCATTTATTGCAGATTAATTGATTGGCAAGTGTAGCCGGATGAACTATTCTGCGTCCTTCAATAATACACTTTTTGGGTACATCTATTGGCTTTGTGCATTTTTCTGAGTTACATCTCTGTATTTTTTTAATGTTTGTACCATTTTCTACCTGTTTACATCTTTGTTCATACACTCTCTTTTTAACCTGCTTGCCATTCCAAAACCACAAACTGCTTTTCTCACTCATATTTTACAGATCATACACATTTCCATGACCTCGGGCGTGAGATTTAACTAACAAACTTAATTAAATAGAATAAATATTGACGAACAGTAACCGCTGATATGTGTGGTGTCGATATTGAGGTTATCGTTATGAATACAAAGCGTAGCAGAAGCGCGTCGTTGGCAAACTTTCAACTGTAACAACGTGAGTCAAAGACGAATCTGAGCGCCCTCTCAACTGACTAGTTACGTAGCGACGGTACTCCCTTAAGAGATTACGGCAGCCCTATTCAAATAATTCTACAAACTCAACATTCCATGAATTTTCCAAAGGTAACCAAATTTTAATTAAATGTACTTTTGAATTAACAGTAATCCATTTATTAACAGTCATTAAAAATAACTGTGATTAAAAATATATTATAGGTTTGTTGAGTTCCCTAAGTTTTTTGTCAAGTTAAATCTTATACAATCACATTTAAGTTAATTTTAATCATATTACTATGATACATATATTTATTTCATTCTTTCCTACATACTTGGTTACTTACTGCTCATATCAATTGAGTAAATTCAATATCACAGATTGTTTTAAAGTTATGATAACTTCTTTATTTATCAAATATTAATTTTCAGCAGCAGATGAATCAACGAAAATATCTACTCCAGGTAGACGAGCTATATGTAATATTAAATACAATGCTGTTTCAAATAAAACTTCAAATTCTAGTGAGAATATTAAACAAAACTCAGAAGGTAAAAAAATTTCATATCTTCTCTGTATTATTTTATTTACATATATATATATATATATATTTTTTCTATATTTTTATGTGACAATTTTTCATAACTACATAACTCTTATATGAAAAAATTGTAGTTATAGTTATTGTAACTAATTAAGCCAAATGTAATTGCTTCAGCTTTCTTTTAACAATCTGGATCAAATTTATTTTACCAAATTAATGATCGCAAACCTTTTGTATATCTACATATGCTTGTAATTAGAAACTCACCTAGGTTATTAATATTAAACTTTTCCTGGCCATATATACACACACACATACACACATATTTATTTATTCACGTGTATATACATAAATATATGTTTTTAATAAGTTTTGAAGAAAATATTGGTTCGCTTGTAAGAAATAATTTAAGAACGGAAGACACTTTTCCCAAACCATTTTTCCCAAAGCCTTTTTTTCCCGGAAGTTATTTTCCCCAAAACCGTTTTTCCAATAGTACTTTTTTTTCCAAAATTTTAGTATTTCCCAAAATAATGTGTACAGTTAAGAACAAGAATACTTTTAAATTTACGTTTGGTTTATGTTTCTGCATGTTTTGTATTTGTTTAACTGCTACCTTCACGTTCATTACAGTCTTTGAATCGTAATGTAGGTTACATCGTCGAAATTATAAAGTTGTACGTTTTAAAATTGGCAGTAAATAAATTTTGTAATTTGTAAATTGGAAGTAACTTAATAATGGCTGAACTAATACGTGCGAGGAAATCGGTTTTTTTACATATTGACGGTTTTTTATACTACAAACATTCTGGCGATTTTCGGAGATATTGGAACTGTAGAAATAAAGGCGAGTGCAATGCGCGTGCTGTAACAACTGGAGACGGAAACAGCTTAATTGTTCATCGAGGACCGGATGAATCTGAACATACTCATGCGCCGAACAGCGAAGAAGTGAAAGCGCTGAAAATTTTGAATTCAGCTAAAAGAACTGCTGAGGAGCATCCAGAAATGCCTCCAGCTCAGATAATGCGTAAACATTTGCGTCAAGTTCCATCAGGTAGAAAAATTGATTGAAACTATTGACAAGCTCAAATATTTTTTATGAATGAATACATATACTTTGTAGAAGTCTTAGACGAACTTCCAGACCGTTTGAATATGCGAAAACAAATTTCACGCGCTCGTCTTACTGAAACGCCTTCCAACCCTATCCGAATGTCCGATTTTGAAGAGATTGCCGAACAATATACGGAAACACTAAGCGGGCATCCTTTTCTCCTGTACGATTCTTATCGTGATGACGAGCACGATGAAAGCCTCGGTAGAATTATTATTTTTGCCTCGCCCGACAATTTGAAACGGCTATTCCGATGTCATACGTGGTTTGCTGACGGCACATTTAAAATGGCACCGTCCATGTTTTATCAAATTTTTTCTATTCTTGGAGCTGTAACTCAAGTTGGCATCAATAATAAAGCACAGGAGATTGGCTTACCATTCGTACATGCACTTGTGGAGAATAAGCAAGAACGAACTTACATCAAAATCTTCGAAATTATTGCAGAAGAGGGACGCAATCTTGGTCTTGAAAACTTACCTACTAAATTAATGACTGATTTCGAAGTAGCGATTGTGAATGCCGCGGAAAAAACGTTTGGTAAAATAGTCTCATGCTGCTTTTTTCATTTACGCCAAAGTGTGTATCGTCGCGTTCAGCAAGAAGGACTTCAAAACGAGTATGTTACTGATCCACGAATAAAAAAAGGTATTCAAGTGCTCTGTGCTTTGGCTTTCGTCCCAGTAGATGAAGTACAATCTCATTTTGCACGCATACGCGACGACTTACCTGTTGAAATTGAGCCTATCGTGGCCTATTTCGAGAGTACATATATACGTCGCGCTGGTGCAAGAAGGCGGAGCAGCCACGGAGTACGATTAAGGATTCAATATCGCCTTCCACGGTATCCGCCTAATTTGTGGAATCAATATAACTCCGTGTTAGAGGGCAAAGCTCGCACGAATAACTTATCGGAAAGTTGGCATAACGCATTTCAAGTGGTCGTCGGTAAAGCACACCCCAGCTTATACGTGTTCTTTGACGTATTGAAAAAAGAACAGGCAGACGTGGAGATTATGCTACTTCAGTTACAGCTGGGGAAGCGCGTAAAGAAATGTACCGACAAAAAAAGACGGGAAATTGAAGAAAAAATTTTTGGGATCGTCACTAAGTATCATGAATATGTATGCAATGACGATATATATGCGTACTTACAAGCTGTTGGTTATAATATTAAATTCTAGAAAGTTAATAAATTGGTTTTACTGAATGTATTGTTGATTATATTATTTTTGGGAAATATCAGCATATTGGGAAAAATGGCACTTTTTGGAAAAAACGGTTTTGGGAAAAAGGGGCATTGGGAAAACAGTCCTTGGGAAATATGATTTGGGAAAAGTGTCCACCGCCGCTTACAAGCATGTACAAATTTTATTATAACAATAAAAGTATATTTAACTTGCAAGTAAATTTTTTAAATACAATTTGAACATATGTACTTGTTTCTCTTTTAAGATTCAGTAATGCTTTGGTAAATATAAATAGGTAAAACATTATATCTATATGTTTATTTTCACAGATGTCAGTAATCTATCAAATGTACACTCAGATGCTCATAATCAATCTCATATAAATGATGATGGAAGTGTTGTATATAATATTGTAAGTTTATATGTCAAGTTTAATATCTTTTTTATTATATATTAAAAATTGAATGAACAAATGTGTCATATTATGCACATTTGAATAATTATTATTGATACCATTGTCAAATATTTTTTTAATTTTATTTATTATCTTGCATTTTTAAAGTTGTATTAATTCATGAATTTGTCTTGCATGGAAAAAAGTAGTAGAAACAAGTAATTTCAATAGTGATAATCCAAAAAATTTTTTTCCAATATCTCTTCCACTTGGATATAAATATATTCAATTA